TAGACCTAAAGTGATTATTGCATTGTACAACTGTAAAAATGTGCAGCCTATACGTCGTTTTCTCAACTAAAATGTGCATCATACGTCTACAACCTGGTGCCTTTTCCTCTAAATTTTACTGAACTTCAGTAGCGGTAGTCTCTCCTACAAGGCTAGCTGTGGATTCCAAATCCAAAAAAGGAAAAAGTCTTGAAGGAAACTAGAGGATTTAATAGCATGTGGACAGATTCATTTGCTTTCACCACCAATGCTGCAAAGTTAAAGTGCTAAATAATTATAAATAGCCCATAAAATGCCATAAAAAAAAAACCTCTAAGATAATATCTGGATTTATATGAACATTTTGAAAAATATCCAGCTTCTGTCACAGTTACACCCGCGCTTTAGAGAGCACAACTAAGACTTCAGCTTCAGTTTGACTCTGCATGCCAAGTACGGCTGCAAATAATGATCCCCCAACTCTCAGTTTCAGATATAACACATCCACTGCTAAATTTATACCACTTATTTACACTGCATAGAAGACAAGTTTCACCGTCTGTCTCACGTCTATGTTAGGAACAAAAAGTCTGGCACATCGTCTGCAGCCGTCTGAGCGCTCTGTCAAACGGATAAGACAGCAAGAAAACAAAATAATCTTTTGAAAGCTAAAATGACATTTTGTCACACTTAATATTTTAAATTTAGAAACAGCGGGGGTGGACATCATACACCTCAATAATCAATCAAAGTTAATTATATCCATTTTGCGCAACCAACGTCTCACAGCACAGTCATCATGGCTATTATTATGCTGGATCATCCTCATGTGATGGGAAGAGGAAGTGGGATACCTTCAATCGAAAAACAACTGTTCAGACAACTTCACATATTCCAAAGGAAATGACATGAAATAATCTGTGATACTTCACGTCTGCTGAGGCCAACCGTCACTGCTGCTCCGCCAGCAGCAGCAACACAACAGCTCAGATTCAGCCCTTGTATGTGTAACAGTATAATGACATTTCGCTAATGAAGAAATGAGTTTAAAAAATGCAGAAGTGGGTTAAAGGTTAGGACAGACCAAGATGACAGTTTTTTCTCCCTGAACTGGTGTTTTGGCTGAATTCAGAAAAGGAGATAAACTCCCAATCTGCAACAAAATGTCCAGAGGAGGGAAAAAAATAACAGGAGTCGACCCAACGTCTGCAATAAGAGCTCTGTCTGAGCACAGTGGAGTACTGTCCTCTGTATGTCTCAGCCTGACAATGAAGCCATGTATAACTACCGCTGAACAACATAACGGAGACGCGTAGACACAAAATACAGATAATGAGACACCATTCTGTTAATAGCTGTATTGTCGTCATCATCGCCGTCATCGTCATCATAACAGAGGCAAAGTGAGTTTCACAACTTCCCAGTTGGATCACAGCTGTAGAGTGTTTCATAACGTATAAATCACCAGAACAGGGACTCATGTTTTTTCATCATAACTAAAAATAAACCTAGTAATATTATGCATCAAAAAATATTCTGATACTCATTTCTGATACTCATTTTACACATTTCAACTCAGGTCAAACCCACTAAACGACATTATTAAAGGACTAGTTTGACATTTTGGGTTGCTTTTTTGAGTTTAATGAGAAGATCGATACCACTCACAAGTCTCTCCATTAAACATGAAGCTGCAGCTGGTTAGCTTAGCATAAGCACTAGAAACAGGGTTAACTGGCTAGCCGGCTCTGTCTAAATCTAAAAAAAAAAAATCCTCCCTCCGACACCTCCACAGCTCTCTAATTAACACGCCACATCTTGTTTGTTTAATTCATACTGAAACCAAAGTGTTAAAATGACAAGTTGTGGTTTTTATGGGAGTCTTGTCAACACTGGGAGATGCCGGAGGGTATGTTTTGTTATCTGTGTACAGATCTAGGCTCGCCGTTTCCCCCTGTTTTCAGTCTTTAAGCTAAATTGCCTCCTGGCTCCAGCTTCATACTCGACAGACATGAGAGTGGTATCGATCTTCTCATTTACCTCTGCAAGAAAGCAAATAAGCGTATTTCCCAAAATGTCAAGCTGTTGAGCTGGGCGATATAAAGAAAATCAAGTATCACAGCGTTTTTGACTGTTGGAGCTTTCACACAAATAATCTTCAGTAATGTTGATATAATGACTAAATGGATGAAGACAAATAATAGAACAACAAGAACAGTTTATAGTAAGTTCAGAATATTACATCAGGGGTGGGGGAATAATTGATACAGCATAGTATCACGATATTCTTGTGTGGCAATATCACACAGTGCCAAGTATCAATTTTTTTTACATCCTCCAGAGACCTGAACTTTTGTTTGGTTTACTTTTTTAATTTCTCCCAGCTATTTGGGATCAGTGGGACCTGATAAATATAAAAAATGAAACAGTTAAGTCCCAGTATCCTCTAACAAGACGATAATAAAGTCCTAATGTCTTCAAACGAGTGACAGTGTCTTAGCTTGTTACTCTTAATAAAATTGGAAACATTTGTTGCCATTACCAAACTATGAACATTATCAATCATAAATAAACAAGTTTCAACCATAAAATGTGATCACGTTTTGTACTTTGTCCACTTTGGTTTCGGGATCAGCTGCAGATTGACTTGGCAGAGATGGCTGCCATCTTGTTTTTTCATGGATTAGTGTATTGTGCTCTTACTACAACAAGGTGGCACAAAAAGTGTCCACGAATAAGGACAACAGGTCTAAGTTAAGCAGAATAAAGTACTGCATTAGGTTGAGTAAACCCAAAATTTGATGTCCTTATGAGGACACAGGGTCTCAGGATAAAAGTTATTAATATTACAAATACAAGTTAAACTTCAGGTGGCTTTCTAGAATAATATAATCTATTTCTTTTTCAGTCCAGTAGATACAGTAGACAAAGTTTTCCTTTGGGGACATTATTTACAGTTGAAAAAAAAGACTATATATCACAATATATTTACTCGCAATACTCAGCATATTGCAACATATTTAAAATTGCAATAATACTGTATTGTGACTTAAGTATCATGGATCTCCTGGTGATTCCCACCTCTAATGTCTCCCCTGAAATACTTGGGATTAACGATAATATTGTCTTTTTAAGATCATTTTACAGCACTGATATAATGATTATATAATAGCATAAAAATGCAAGTACACCTTTCAAAGAGCAATGAACTTCTAATCCAACCAAAAATTAAAGTAAAACATGTCTCAGTGCAGTTTTTTCTGTTCATAAGGCTGACGAATGGTGGTCTTAGAATGGTGGGGAAAACTGTTTATCCTCCTGAGACCCTGTGTCCTCATGAGGACATTTTAGATTTACTGGACCTTATCCGTCAATTTGCTTAACTTAGACCTGTTGTCCTCGTTAGTGGACACTTTTTTGTGCCATGTAGTGGTAGTAAGTGGACAAGGTACAAAACCTGATCACACTTTATGGTTGACACTTGTTCATTTATGATTAATATAGTTTCTAGTTAAATATTGTGTAAAAATTTAACCAAATTTAGCAACAGTAACAAGCTAAGACACTGTTAATCAGGAAGTACTCATTTGAAGACATTGGGAATCCTCATAAGCTCGTTGAAGGACACTGGGACGTAATTATCGTCTCGTTTGAGGATATTGGCACTTCATTTATTTTGTTGTTTTTATACTTATCAGGTCCCATTAACCTCAAATAGCTAGGAGAAATTATAAATGCATACCAAACAAAAGTTCCAGTCTCAAGAGGATATTCTAGCATTTTGTTGGCAAGAATTTAGGTTACATTTTTATGTAAACATACGCATGTAAACACAAGGGCATTATCATACGATATACATGTATGCACATGACCTTGATCATTTTTGCTGACCTTGATAAGTCAGTAACCTTTGAAACCAGCAAAAGACGGTATATTCAATATTACGATATCCAAAATCTAAGACGACATCCAGTCTCACATCCTGTTATCAATATAATATTGGTACACTGTCCAGCCCTGTGTTGCTTCAACGTATTCCTAAAATCCCTGGAGAGATTATTAGTAATTTGGCAGCACTAATGTAAATATGACATCATACAGACACACTGGACAGCACACCTGCTGTGCAGCACTTCCAGAAAAAGGGTGAAAGGTCACATCAGACCACATAGACCTGACTCAGCTCAATCCTGACTGTGTGGAGAGGCCTCGACGTGCCAAAGCTGAAAATAGCTTCCTGATAAGTCAGTGTTTGTGTTCACATCCTGAGACCCCAGAGGAACTTTTAATGTGTGCAACACTTACTCTATGAAGGAGGTTTGTTTTGTCAGGATTTGGTGCACTTTGTTGAACGATGACATGCAGAATTTATTTGCCAGCGCACACACAGAAGCAGACACTTGATTCAAAAACAAATTTTGATTCTGCTACTGGAGTAGTTAACATTATCTGTAAACTTTTTGCAGTGTTTTTCAGAAAAGCTCCACTACAAAAAGTATCTGTCATTCTATCTGTAGAAATATTTTAGGTATTTAACTACCACAATTTACTTGAATAAAACAACTATTATTTGATTTATCAGACCTGATATTGTTATCCTGCAGGATGCATTTTTCCATGCACACTGCCGTGCAGAGACACAGCCTATGTATTTCAGCAGAGTCCCATGTAAACAGCAACACACCCATCAGCTTTATCAGCACATCGACCATCAACACAAGTGAGGCTGAGCGGCAGCATCTCATCAGACTGACCTGTCTGCTCCTCTGCGAGCTAATATTTGAAGTTGATGTTGACAAGACAACACCCAAGTGTTGCATAACTTCATGCCAGCAGGATAACCACAAGGAACGAGAGGCAAGTTGACTCCCAGTCCGGAGCTCAGCCCTGGTAACATCAGTGGAGAAAGCCTCACACATGCACTGAGCCCTGGACAACATTTCCCAAAGTCCACAGCCTAATTATCACCCAAACACCAAACCCCCGCTCCAGCGTGGGAAATAACTGTCCACACAACTGACCTGTTTTTCAAGGGTTGACTCTTCAATTCGTAATACGTTTTAGGCTCCTCTTGAAACTCCTCTCCGACCTCGAAGTCGGGAACTATCCCCGATTCGGACTGCATACTTGCAGAGGTCAACTTTTGGAAACGTTAAACCCCTTAACAAAAAAAAAAAAAGCAAACCCAGACGGGCGATATTTGTGCCGCCGTACTTCGCTCAGTACCAACCGCTGTCAACGCAAGCCGCCTCTGTGTAGACACACGGAGCTGTGTAGTCCTGCACAGCCGCCAGCACAGCGCTGCTGACCGGCTGCAGGAGACCAGCCGACTACCACTACCAGCATGCACCTCGGCTGTCAGTGTCAGCATGGTTTTCATTGGCTGCAGCATCCGAGGGGATTTTACACAGCCTTATTTGCTCACACAGTGAAACTCGAGCGTCACAAAGTTTAACTTCCTTCAATAATAATTACTAATCATGTGAACAGCTGGTTATCGATATGATGGGTTTTATTGATTAACTACAAACCCTGCTGCTGTAATAATGCTTTATAACCTTTTTAGAGACAATGACCTCATATAACACCTGACTCTACTGCAGGCATGTACATTTGTAATAATAACAGGTTGGAAACCTGTGCTGTGTGAATTTAGGAAAATTAATCTCCATTAGGGGAGAGTGGCGTTGGTTGGAACATTTCTGTCAGTTAGGACACCTTGTTCTGGGTTAATGAATATCATTAAGACCTTATATTTTTGATACATTTGTTTATACAGAGAAAAAGATCACATCTGGAAACTCGTTTTATTTTAATAAATTACTGAGATAGAATGTGGCTGTCTTTTGAGTCATCATTTCAGTGGCAGTATCCGCTCATGGTCACCATAGGCCAGTGGTTCCCAACTGGTCCAGCCACAGGGTGCAGATTTCTCCTCAGTCAGTAGTTAAAGGTCCACACAGTTTAATATATTCAGCGTTATACTTGCGTTTGGTCATGTTGTCGAGCTAGTTTGCTGTCTCTGTTAAGTAGCTGTTTGTTATTCTCTCATTCTACAGCAGAAAACAGCACTTTAGAATAAAAGCTCTGTGCTGGAATTTCACTGTACTTCAAAATAAAGTGTGTTTTTTACAAGCTTGACATGTTCACGAGTCACTTGCGGACCATTCAGAATGGACTGGCAACCCACTTTTGGACTGGGGCCCACCAGTTGGGAACCACTGCCATGGGCTACATGTTGCCTATAGGTTCATGTATGAACAAATACAAGTCAATAACAATAACTTGAGAGCTGAAAAACATTAATAGTTGAACCCTGCACATTCAAAATATGCTAGGGGCTTGAATTTTAGGCCTTTATGCAGGAAATATTACTCCGTAACTTAAAAGTGTGTCTTATTCAATTTGGAAAAGCCATTGTCTTGTTTTGTCTACTTTTTCTTCATTTATAACGAGGTAGGAACCATAATATTATTCAAAACATTCTCACTCCGACCTCGTCACATATTGACGTTTGGTCATGGACCTTCCACGTCCAGATATGACGTGCAAGGTACCCTGGGTGCGTTGGTTGTTGACGTTCTGGGACTCTGTGTCAACTTCAGCCTGTTACATGCATTGTCTTCTTTCAAAATACACTTCTGTTTTCACAGGAAATTTAACGTTTACATACAGTCTCTTTCAAAATAAAAGCACTACGTCTGTACAACACTGCGATTTGATGTTTTTTTTTGTTTTTTTTTTGTCCTTCAACAACTTACACACTTGGTTTGGTTTAGGCAACAAAAACACGTGGTTAGGTTTAGGACAAAAGAACAGGATTTGGCTTTATAATCTTACGGGACGTGACCACCGGCCTCCCAGGTGAAAGTCAGTGTTTTTTGGACACATCCACCACTGCTTCCATCTGCTCTACTTGGACTTTCACCTCCTTAACATTCGTCCTTGTCCTACTGCATTTCCCCCTGACACTGCCAAGCACTGTTAAACTAGAACGGTGACCAGCCGCAAATCATGTTGACATTAAAGGACAGTGTCTGATGCCTCAAGTCACTGCCCAAGCACCAGATTTTAATGACTTTGGAGTGAGATCAGGTTGTATTATCCCAACCACTTCTGGATAACTATATTCCAGGGAGTGCAGGCACACTCTGGACTCCTGTGCTGGCTACCAACAAAAATCAAGACAGCTAAAATTAGCGCAAGCTGATAGGCCAGAAAATAAGCTTTCCTGTGATATGTTCTTTGTATGTTGCATAACTAAAAAACAGTAGGCCTATAGTGGAAGAAAAATAACAAAAGAGCCAAACGTTTGCTTACATGCTGCAGATTACAAAACTGTGAATAAAATGTAGTTCACAGTCCCACTGTTCCAACCAACCCCGCTCTCCCCTATATCCCTGCAGAATTGAACAAAAATGGAGATAAATCACAGTTAATGTTGCATGACAGAATAAAACCAATAAATGGTCACTTATTATAATTATGCCCAGGGGTCAAACTCCCTGTATATGTATTAGATCGAACTTTAAATCCCACTGATGCCGATTAATCATAACAAGAATTTCCATTAGAATATATTGCAAAGCTGTCTTACTTAAATAAAAGTGCATTTTGCACCATAACAACACAACATCACACCTGAGCAGCACTCAGTACCTTGTTAATAATTTATAGCCTCAGTCTTACATTTATCCAATCCTCTCCTCACGTCAATCATGCAGGTATTTGCTCCCAAATCATAACAAACCTGGACACTCTGTCGACCCTCATGTCTCTGTTTCCTTCTGTCTCCTGTGCAGACACACAGACCAACCTGCCTGTGCAGCTCGTCTCCTCTTCAGCTCCTCACTCTGCTGTCTGCTCACCGAGTTTCCTCTCCTCACTGGACTCCCATCAGCCACTTGGGGGCAGTATATAGCCAGAGAAGTCGGTGTTGTGGGCTCACTGGGGGCACTTTCTTTCTATTACAAAATGGAAATTCAAGTTCAATATTTGCATTCGCCTCATCCTGCTGAACTGGTTGAAGTCCGCATTTTACTAATGCAAATATCATGCAAATGCGCTCCTGCTGGAAAGCACAGACTTAAAAAAAACTAAAAATAACGCCTTAAATGACACGATGATAATTGGAGACAGACACAACTAGAATAGAAAAACAGAGCTTGGCAGTATTTACGAGACATTTTATTCACCACAAAATCTCAGACATGTGAAAAGCAAGTTACAGTCAGAGCAGGAGACGTGATGCAGGACCTGCATAGCTTTACATTCTGTCACAGAGCACAGGGACACACACACAATGGACTAGACAACATATTATTCTAGGTGTTGTTATGGGGTCAATAGCGTCACTGATTACTGAGGGCCTCCAGCTGAGGGAGGCCCCCAGAGTTTGTAGACTACAATGCCCTTTGTAATTCCTCAAGTGGGTGCAGTGCATAAATATTTGATACCTCAGTTCAAATTGTTTTGTCTTTGAAGCAGGATTTGGTTGAAACCTATAAAAATATCACCCTCCTTTTAAACTCATGACCTGTTACAATAAACTTTAGCTACATAAAGGAATATTTCACACACAAAATGACAATTTGTATATCAATAAGTCATCACATGTTATGATTTTATGAAGAAAATGGTGAACATATTGATTTACTGATTGATGGATCAAGTTTAACAAGAGTAAAACTGCAAACTCTCACGTAACACACATACACAAGTCTCATTTCTCCAGTCATATGCTCAGTACTTCCCAAACAAATGTATTTTTACTCAAACTTTACTTCTTAAAACTGAACTGAAAGTGAAACATACACATACTCTCTTCAAAGCCAGACTTCAGTAGTAAAGATTTTAGTAAAATCACACACCTGATTAAATGAGACTTGGAGTTTGTAAACAGATGATTTAATATACTGTAGTTCTGCTGTTGTTAGACATGTTCCCCAATCAATATGTTTGCTGTGGAGACATGAAAAAAACAAAGCATTGTGCAAGAATTCAAAGTAACACAGCATGACTAATTGATATACAAATGGTCATTTTGTAGGTCAAGTATTCCTTTAAAATTTGCACATCACTGTTTGTTATGGATTGTTTATATTATATATGTCTTCTGCAGGTTTGATGTCATATGCACACTGTTTTCTACAACAAACAAAAAAAATCAGTTTAAGGTGAAACTTGAGCTTGTTGTGTTTAATACTGGGTCAAAATAACCATTCTGTTGTTTGGGTAAATAACAAAACAGTAATATTAAAAGATATATAACACTGAATCAAGACAATCTCATTCTCTTGGGTTTAACTGGGAATCCAGTTGTTTCCTAACCACGAGGATGTGAGTAAATTAACCCAGTATTGTGCTGATTCAGTTTAGGACTAGGTGTTTCAATCCCTTGATGCACATTCTTAAGACTATGAGTGAGAGTAATAGTGTCATCTGACGGTTTCTTAGTGAGAGCCAAAGAGTTAAGGTTAGGTAGATAGAAAAGTAAGATGGAGCATAGGGAAGGCAGAGCTGAGGAGAGATGTTGTGTGGACTGAACTCTCACCCGCCGGATCAAAACAACCCATTCTCTTGGGTTTGGTTGGAAACCCAGTTGTTCCCAAACCATGCCTAACTTTGGTAACCCAGTATCAGTAGCTGATGCTATATTGACCCAAATTGGATTTAATAACAGCATGGAAAAAAAAAAAAAAATCTGACCTAGATTCATATTCTGGGGGGCTTCTCATTTACCTCAGAATGAGCCGTTGATATCTACATATGGCGCAGGTCCTGGTCTATAGAGAGTGCCACGTTCCACTGCCATGTTTCTACAGTAGCCCAGAACGGACAAACCAGAGACTGGCTCTGGATAGGGAAATTTGCACTCTTCACAGCCTCCATAGTTCGTAGCCCTTCTGCAATTATTGTTAATGTGAAACTGCTTTATTCAGTGCTTTTACTGATTTTAAATCACCTGGTTCACTTGTTTGAGAGGAAGGGACCTCCTGAACAAAAAAACACTGAAGGAAACCTAACTGGGAAAGGTTCCTGTTGCTTGCAATGTGGAATCCTCCCTGCTAGATGCCACTAAATTTCACACACTGTTCCTTTAAACATGTACCTGTGACAGCCAAAACGTACAATGTCAAACCACTGAAATTCAACAGGTTACATATGTGAGAACAGATCGGTCCCCTCATGTGCATCATTTCCACCCCTTCACCCCACTCCTGCTTACACATTCAACACTGCCATTACAACATGTGCACAAAGGCTGTCGCAGACAAATGCTGCGGTGGAGACTGACAGCGACACACTGGCCATGTGCCATGAGATAACTGAACACATGGACATAATTACAAAGACTAATACATCATCGTTTAAACAGTGTCATGCAGATTTAATAAGCAGTGGCAGACTGTGCAAACACTGCTGGCTAATAACATGGACCATGACCTGAGAGGGATCATCACTGTAATATCCTGAAAAAATATAATTTCCTCGATTTTGATAACTTCTTATTTCACTCTAATACATGTCTGCTGTTTAGAGTTATTCATATTCTCACACCTCCTCTTCTTAGAGGATCCTGGCAGTGTTAATAGGAGTAGAGCATTTATTTGGGGTGACTGGGTGCTGCAGTTCAGATTTATAGCCTTTGGTCATTTTGCTTTCTCAGTTAAAAATCTAAAGTACACACTTCTGTATTGTGCTGCTCTGTTGTGTTTTTGTCTTCCTGCCAAGGGACGACAGATGCAAATCGGCTATCAGCTATCGCCGGCGCAATTACTTTTAAAATAATTAAATAAATGAATAAAATACTTAAATGTAAGCCAGCAATAGCAGATAAAGTCCTCTAGCTATTTCTTTGTTTAATTTTCACTCGTGGCTCTTTCATGCTGGCAGCCAATCATCAGTGACAGAGCACTTCCTGTATGCTGCAGTCAAAACAAGATCCCGGAATATCAGCCAAAGGTGTCCGGGTGCTCCAGGACATGTGTGAAGTTTTGATGTTGTCTACTGATCAGTTTGTCCCAAAAATAAAGCTCGTTTCTCTTGCAGAAGTTTGAATATTTATGTTTAAATTGATCTTCACAAACCTAAATAATGATGCTTTGTGTGATATTAAAGGAAAGTTAAACCTTTACTTCCTTCCTACACATCTCACTCACAATATGCAACATTTAACCAAGACACATTTGTTGAGGTCTTTCTGGTGGGTATCATTGCCCAATGACGCCTCCTTTCTTCCACTGTTTGCTTACAAAGACTTGCCCAAGTTTCCAAAACTTTCTCATCACGAGATTATTTTTCCATTCGTTGCTCAAATTGGTTTTAGAATCTCTGTACACAACATTTGCCGCACTCTAAAGTATTTATACGAGACCACAGATTTAGTCATTGCTTCATGTTGTTGTTCAGCTTCTTCAGTTTCTATTGTTATGTGAGGTGTGGGTGCATTCGTGTAAAGCATCTGCCAAGAAACATTTGCTTCAATGGAGACGGAAAAGTGATTGCATGCATAGTCAGTCGCGCATAAAACAAATACATGGACATGGTTAATGTTGCATGCAGTGGTTATGAAGTACATTTTTGCATCTTGTTTTGTGCCAAATGATGAAGACCGATGATAAGCTGGACACAGACTGGCAAAATTTTATGAACGCCATACTTCAGTATACTAGAGAGTTTAAGTAAAATGGTGTACACATGAAAAGCAGCCTACAGTGTTACATGTACAGACTTTAAGCTTGTATTGTAAAATGTACAGTGAGAGTTTTACATGCCAGTTACAACAAAAACAGACTCATATGTCTTCCCTGAATATATTAAAAATACAGCTTGCCAGTGATGACAGAATTTAATTCCTAATGAAGGCAACAAGGCTAACGAGGGAATCCTCATCTTTTGTCTATGAGAGCGTTTTCCTGTAAGGAGGAGACTCACTGAACAGATGGTTTTGGGGGATCTTAATGAGATACTTATTCATGTCTGATGTCAGAAATCCACGGACAGAGAGGGGGGTGGGGAAGCCTCGCTCTGCTGACAGGCTGCAGCATCTACTGTAGACTGTGAGGATCTACAGTAACAGCAGTGCAGTTCATCTTAATTTATCAGGCATCTGAATTCCAAAATGCAGTTAGTCAGTGTATCTGTGATGTACTAACTCAGTGTTTATTTGTGTAACTGAATTAAACTTCTGTTTTTGGTGACTTTAACGAAGCTGCCGTGCGAGCTTCTTTGGAAAATTACCAGTGGAGTGAAGAGTAAAGACAGTAATGAATATTTTAGAGGCACCGTCACTCCTGAGCTGAAATGAATATCACACGTGAAACGCACACCAACGCCCCGGTTCAGCAGAGTTGTATCTTTTGTATTGCTCGTGTCAAAGATGTTAAATGATGTGTAAAGCGACATAAACTTATGAGTTGACTTGAGGCTATTGGTGACATTTTAGAAAACAGATAACTGATTGAATGTGTTTTTTGCTGTTGAACATGTAAACTTTCCTCTGTAAATAGTGCTGATTGTGAGTCTGACCCACATTTCAATTTAGGTCAACTTGTGGTAAGCTGTAAATTCCCTTTTTAAAAAAGTAGCACAGTTTTTCTGCCATTGAATATGCTAATAGAAATAAACCTCTGGCTCAAGGACATTCATCAAATGATGTCATTGTCCCTTGAATCGTCATTTGTAGCTGCTGGTGTTGTCGTTCACACACACTGTGATAAAATCAAAGATGTTTGTACTGCCACTGGTTCCTGTGTTTTGTCAGTTATCTCACATGCTAAATACATCCTCCTCAGCAGCTCGTGTTTTTATCACGTAGATCCTGTTTTATTGCTGCAGGTCAAAGGAAGTCAGGGGGAAAAATCCTTTGTGCAAACAAAGTGCATCAAAGCAGACTAAAACATACATAAAAAACCTGTTAGCTGCACTGCCAGGAATCCCCTTCA